TGTCGTGTTAGAACGTCAGAATATCCGTTTCAAAAACTTTTGTGGTCGAACGAGGAGCTGATTCGTTCATTAGACACCATCCATTAAAAATAGGACGTCCTTTGGACACTCGAGGAAATAATATCCTGATTATTTAGCAGTATTATTAAATAAAACTGAAGATAAATGGCCATATTCAGTGTCCGACTTAACATTGAAGATGAGTTGTCATCGACTTCAAGTTTTGACCTGAAGCATTGTTCGCATGTGCAATATTCAAAGAAAGGGGAATGATGCAAACAAGACAAGAAGCAAATAAAAGAAAGTTTAAGGAAAAGCGATTATCTTAGGCTGGTCATAAGATTAATCCTTTGGGAAAATTATTGCTTTAATATTTAGTAATTTTTAAATCTACGAGAGGTCTGTGCTGTTGTAAATTTGAATGACTAAGCTATATTTAAGGCCGATTGACTTTTCTCTTCCTTATTTGTGTTGTTTATGTCATGCTTCATCTAAAATGACATATTCACAGCATCTTACATCATCTTAGCTTTCTCTCTTACTCTCTTTTTGCGGTGTATTCTGTGTTCTAGTTTGTTAAAGTGTATTATACGCTTTAGTCAAATAACTGATATGTTATGTTTCGTTACAAAATGCAGGAGTTCATGGGTAGAAATCTCCTTGCTTTGAATGTTATGTGGAAATACATGGAGCAGGTGAGCAGTTTTTTCTATTAGTTAATTATTGGGTTAGGTTATCGCTTGCAATTTTGAGTAGGCTCAAAAAAGGCCTGGAAGATTTATAAAACTACCGTGTATTTTACAACAATCAACCGAATCATGTATTCTGTCATCTTGCAATACTAATTATGCAATCAGCTTTGTCGAGTAACTATCATATGTATACTGCATGAGTCAAAAGTTAATGTTGCTTGGTATTAGGCTCAAATGGTCTAAGAGAGATTCTAAAACTCAGTATTAACTGTAATCTAGCGAATCATGTATTCTACCATCTTGCAATTTATTTATGTCATCAGCTTTCTTACTTTCGAGTAACTATTGTATGTATGACAGGAGTTAAACATTACGTTTATCTGTAGTCTTTTGATACGTCAATCCATCTATGATCACTAAACTGAGTAGTTAATATTAAAAGAACCTATGGTATAGAAACATCTCCCTATGTGAACATTTTTTAGATATGATTTTTTGGTATTGGAGCTCTTTGGAAGCTTTTTAAGCTGATAAGAATTTTGTAGAAGACGATAATTAAATGATATACTTGTAGCCCTTTCTATCAACTTAAGCTTTTAGATTAAGTAGTTTTAAAAACTACTTTAATGCAGTGTTCTAAAAGGCGTAATGCATTGCGATGCGTCGAAGTCGAGAATCAAGAATCACAAGTTTAGGCGTGTCAATGCGAAGAAGAAGCGTCATAATGCGTTTCGTATTTTTAATATTATTTTAATTATTTTTAAGGAATTAAATATATTTTTATATAAAAAAATAGATTTTTTACAAAAAAAAAAAGGTTCTAAAATGCGCCGTCTAAGCGTGCCTAGGCGGGACAATGCGCCAAAATGCGCCGCCTAGGCGGGGAATTTTAGAATACAAACGCATTTTTACCTGCATTTCACCAATTCGACGCGTTTTGCTCGCGCGCCGCGCCTAGACTCTCCTAGGCGGCGCATTTTGACGCATTTTCGAACACTGCTTTAATGATATACATGTAGCCGTTTTTAAATTTCTTTTCTTTTCCTTAATTGTACTATGAGATTTCTCATGGGCACAGACATCCCTGGTAATTCGCTCTTATGATTCCATTATGGCCATTTTTCTAAATGCTCTTTGTATGGGTTTTTGGTTCGATGTTTCTTTTAGCGGACATAACCATTGGCAAGAACTTAATGAATCCATCTTTTGGACTTAATAATAAATTAAAAGTTGCTCTTGCTACTCAGCCAAGAGCCTTGAGCATTGTACAAGGAAGTGCTATAGGAGTAACCCCTATAAGGAAAGCAGTAATTTCTTACAAAGTTTAGCTACGGTCGATATTTGTAGTGCCTAGTTGGTGGCACCTTCAGTTGATGTACGTTGCCTATTCATTTTAGTATGTTTTCATTCATTCAGCTACATTCATTCAATGGACATTCGCTCCGCACCATATAGTATAGTTGGTCGGATAACCATTTTCCGTACTAAAATTTGCTTTATTCCTTTTTTTAACTTGAACCATGTTTTGCTTGCATTGTGGTAGAGATCCTTTCCGCTGACTGAAGAAGAGTATATTTTAAGGCTTGATGACGTCGCTAATACATTGAAATGTTGGGGAGCTGTCTCACATGTCCGAAACAGTCTGGAAAAGTTGAAGGAGAAAGAACGACCGCGGATAGGAAAAGTAAACACGTGACTCTACATTTTGCAATTTATTGTTTTGATTCAATCATTAGAAAAGAAGTGTGCACACAAAACACATGTATCTCCACCTTAAAAATGAATGATAGTTTCAATATTAATAGTGTGTTTGGGACACATTCTTTGAATCTTACCTTGTATTTATCGAAACAAAAGTTCTTAATTATTATTATTAGAGTGTGTTTGGGACACATTCTTTTGAAAGAATGTATTGTTGAATAGTAGATTGATGGAGAATGTGTGATTAAAAATGAAGTAAAAGTTATTGATGTGATGGAAAATATTATTTTATTGAAGAATGTGTGGTTGAAAATGAGTAGAAGAATGAGAATGAACAAAATAATGTGTACCAAACAGGGCCTAAGATTTTGGATTCTTAGCTTAGTCACCGTCTTTTTTCTTTTTTGCAAGAGCTAATTGAAGTGTTTTCTTCTATCTTTATATGCGTTATATAATTCCAAAAATGAAAGGACACCCAGCGATTCATTCATGTGAACACTTACACTTTGAGTTTTCCATGTTTGTTGCAGGCAGTAAGCATTTTCATAGATATGGACGAGTCTGGAGGCCGGGCAAACGAATGGATTTACAAGTAAACCCATAAATTTTAGTTTTCTCATTTTTTGTATTTTTGAAATTGTATATCTTTGTATTAAAGGTACCCTTTCAAAAGTGTCATAATGTGGTATTATGTATATACTGGCAAGGGTGAGAAAATTGAAATAGAGAAACATTAAAAAACATGCTATGGCTTGTACGTTTTGTCTATTTCGAGAATGTAAAATATTCCATTATTATTATTATGTGAAATTCCAGTACGAGCCAAGCTCGAGCTCTCTTTTTGCAGTGAGCCGCTCGCTGACCAAATTGCCGAACCTGGAGTTGGACCGGCTCGGCTATGCTCGGCTTGGACATTACCATGGCTAAGCTTGAATAGCATTTATCTATTTATGTAGGTTTGGTCCTTTGGTGTGTGAGGCATCGGGAGAATTACGCCTGGGGTCCCCAAAGTATTGGAAACATAGCACGGAGGTTCTCAACCTATTATTTTAGCTTCTGTAGTCCCTAACCTTTTAGTTTTGTAAAAGTGGAGTCCCCAGTAGTCAATTTTACACTTACATTAAAAACTCATATTTTTATTAGAAAGAGAAGATGATTTTATCCTTGTTTTTAATTAAATAAAATGGAAAGTATAAGTAAAAGAATACAAAATCCACCTACACTTATCTTTAAATTTATTTTTTCTTTCCACTATAAGTTTATTTTCCATTTAATTAAACTGAAGCTAAAGTTTTATGTTTAACAAAAAATTGAGTTTTTAATTAAACATAAGGGTAAAAATGTGAATTGGATATTCTAATGTTACAAAAATGAAAGGTTTGAGGAGGGAGAGTGCTGAAATGTTAGATTGGGCGCCTAATTGCTATATTTTCAATAGGATGTATTTTTTTTTTTCTTATGTATATTCCCTGTTTGGTAGAGATTTTTTTAATGGTAAATTTTGTAACATTGTTGATATTTATTGCTTTGTTAAGGTTTGTCCAAAGACTTTGAGAGATTTTCTTTATTTTTTTTCAAAAATCATTTTTAACCACACATTCTATCAAATTTATAAATTTGCCTTATTTTTTAACAATTCATTTTTCACTTGGAAAAATCTCTAAAAAGACAAGTACTAAGGATCAAATCCTCCAAGATATGTAGGCACAAAAGCAAGGACTTTCAAGATGAATATAGAATTATGCTCACTTAGAAATGAGTTTTGTTGTCCAATTTGCATCCACCAAATTGCAAATTAACACATAATGGAAAATTAAAGCTGTCATCAATTTTAAATTTTCAACTTTAACATCAATATTAATTTTTCATGATGTGTCAGTTCGTAATTGGACATGAATGGATAGCAAATCTCTACTTCTTTACTAGTACTCATCTAACTAGAGGTTTGGGTGTCGTCCCATTACTCTAGTAAAATATCAGTAACTTAAATCTCCAATGTGAACGGCTTTTGATAAATATAAATGTTGTAAAGATGGAGTTGGAGTCTCTACTAAGCCCCTGTTTGAGCCACATTATTATTTTCATTTTCATTTTTCTACTCATTTTAAAACACACATTTTTTAATAAAATAATATTTTTCATCACATTAATAACTTTTCCTTATTTTTTAACCGTATATTCCACATCACTTCACACAAAAAATGGATTCTTGGACTCAAAATGTGCACCAAACATGGATTAAAGTGAAAGAAAGACTCTCAACCCCCTAAAAATGACTACTTAGATTGTTGTTTTGATTCTCTCTTGTAAGGTCAAGTCATTGCTCAATTTTCAGGGTGTCTTTCTCGCTTAAATCAATTCGTAGAGGTAAACAATACATGAATAACTAACATGGTACACAAGGAGAGAGGTAGATAAAATCAGAATGTCCTATCAAACAAAAATCCTCGAAAAACACAGCGCATACACCGATAGATTATGATTAATTTGCTGGAAAACCTTGTCAGCCGCTGCTATTGTCCGTTGAATGTTCTGAGGTGTATGTGCTAAGCTCGTAAATCCAGCCTCAAACTGAGAAGGTGCAAAATATACACCTTCCTCCAGCATTCATCTGTAAAACCTAGCAAACTTTGCATTATCACTCTTCTTTGAATCCTCAAAGTTATAAAAAGGGCTTTCTGTGAAAAAGAAGCCAAACATCCCACTTATATACCCACCGCAAATGGCATGCCCAACCTTCTTTCTAGCATCCACAATGCCCTGAATAAGTTTGCTCGAGATCGTGTTTAAGTGGTCGTATGTCTCGGGTTGTTTGAGCCGCTTAAGTGTGTGGATACCAAAAGTCATTGCCAATGGGTTTCCACTTAGGATCCCTGCTTGATACATTGGTCCGGCTGGAGCAGCCATCTCCATAATCTCCCGCTTTCCTCCATATGCACCAACTGGTAGACCACCACCAATAATTTTCCGAAGTGTGTCAAGTCGGGAATTATGCCGAAATACTCCTGAGCACCACCATACGACAAACGAAATCCAATCATAACTTCATCGAATATTAGGAGAGTACCGTTATCTTTGGTGATCCTACGGAGGGCATTTAAAAACTCAGGCATCGGTGGAATAAAATCATCATCTCCTACAACAGGTTCGAGTATTACAGCTGCAATCTCTCCTTTGTTTGCTTTGAAGAGGTTTCGGTAGTTGAATGTTGTTGTACGGAGATGTTAAAGTTTCATAGGTAGCTCCCTTGGGAACACCAGGGGAGTCAGGTAGCCCCAAAGGAGAAACTCCACTGCCTGCCTTAACAAGGAATGGATCAGCATGGCCGTGGTAGCAACCCTCAAACTTGATTATCTTTTCACGGCCAGTGAATGCACAAGCCAGTCTTAATAAGCCCATGCATGCTTCTGTACCAGAGTTGACAAACCGAACCATTTCTATGCTTGGAACAACAGAGATTACCATTTCTGCTACGATATTTTCTAAAAGACAAGGAGCACCAAAGCTAGTTCCTTTCTTCATTGTTTCGGCCAAGGCAGCAAGTACCTGCATGTTATCAATACATGAGAAATAAATTAATAACTGCAATTTTTAACTTTTCTCTTCTCAGACCTTCATAGTGGAAACAAAATTACTTGTAGCTGAGTTGCCCATTTGCATATCACTTTATTAAAAGTTTCCTATAGTTAAAATGTGTCTCATTGTCCAATAAAACATAAAAAAGAAACGGAAGATGAGATCAAGTCTCGGTAGGTCGTAAGGTTCATAAGTCTCGTCTTTCTCTGCAAGAACTAAATAAAAAGCATCACACAAACAGCACAACCCTTGAAACCACCATACCTAAGAACAAAAATTCGAAAATGTTATCAATGCAACTACTCTATCGATTCTAAAAAGGATCCTGAAACATTTTACTATTGCTATATACATGCTCGATTGGCAATCAAAGCCACTACTTACTTAAATATAGCTTGTAAGCAGAGCTAGAAATGGACCTCATCATCTACATGACAAATTATGGCCGACCCCCACGATCCTACATAGTCAATGTACTCATTACCATCGATATCCCACATGTGAGAGCCCTTGACAAAATCTATCACGATAGGCTGGCCACCAACTGATTTGAAAGCACGAGCAGGGAAATTTACGCCTCTTGGCATCAATTCCTGCAATCATATACGAATAGACCTTTATCACGAGGCACATAAGGGTAACAGAAGTAGACATGAATACATAAACGAAGTCGAAAACATATTCTAAGACTCTTTCTTTCTAGGGTTGGAAGGGGCACCGCGTGGCATTTGTCTACTCCGCTAGGCTACCTTCCACATGTTCTCGGTTGTTTCGTGATGAAAGACAATTTGAAAATAATTTAAAGAAATCCCTACAACAGAGAATTTGAATATACTGAGAATAGATTAAATTACAGCTAGTGGTGCAGGGACGAACAGCAGTGAGCTCAACAAGACTTTACTACTCATCTCAATGGTCATCACGGAGATTAACGTCATGCTAATTGCTAAGTTGTGAATGAACAAAACCCATAGGCAAACAACCCAAAAAGAAGAGTTATTTAAACCTAGAAAGATTAATTTTGCTATCAATAAAGATTCGGAATAATTCAAATACTATCGTATAATTCTAATTCTAAAACAGAGGCCCCAATTCCATGTTATTACAAAACCACCAAAGAACGCATCAAGCATCAGTCTTGCAATAGGTCGACCGTGTCCTAACATGGTTTACTTGAGAGCAATACCAAGCCATTACAGAAAAAAACACAATTTTCGACAAATACAAATCTTAAAACAGACCAAAAACACTCAGGACTGAAATTATTCGATCAAAATTGGATTCCAGACTGCAATGCTTACAAAATTCTAACAGTACAATCTATTTCCTTGGCGACGTTGAAAGCCTCTTCAAATTTCTTGAGAGTGAAAGTTTTCTTGTTTTCATAAGAGACAACAGTCATTCGGATGATTGCACGACGATGCTTGTGGAGATTTTGACTTAGACATGAATTCAAGGGCGGAGCTAGAAACATAAGTTAGTTAGGGTATGATGAAATTTAACTTAATTTTTTTTCAATGAACTGTACCATAAAAGATACTCTATACCGAGATTTAATTTAAAAGTTTAAATTCATAACACTCATAATAATGTATGTCATAATATATTTTGAGATACTCATAACAAAGTTCTAACAAATATATTTTTAACTAATAAAATTAAATATAGAGCATATTACTTATTTTTATGATAACATTCATTTCATGGTCGAAATAAATAAATTCTTCACTCACAATTACTTTATAAACGAAGCACGATTTGATTTCTCATCATTGAGTTCTCTCTCGATACAGACCACTTGTGTTATTTTCAATTCTCCGTACTTCTCACATTTTGCTATAATGTTTAGTGATGCTTTCTTCAACACAAAAGAATTGGTGCGCAGACTCAAATCCTCATCGTCTATGTTTTCCTTCTTTTTTTGCAATTCTTTGACATTAAAGCCGTAGAAAAGGTCAACGAAATTTTTATTCTTAATTTGACAATCTTTACCTTTGACTCCTTGATGAGTGCTCCACACTCATGATATTTATGCCACTTAATTCATTATTTTATTACCATTGAGAAAGTTTTAGAGGATTTGAGGTGCGTTTTGATGTTATAATGTAGGTTGGTGAGATTGAAGAAAATAAGCAAAAGTTAACAATTTTGAAGAAAATTGCTAAATTGTAAGAGATCCAAAGTTCGAGGACTAAAGTGCAAATGCTCAAAAGTTGTGTTGGTCCTCATGATGAAAATTTGAGAGTGTGGAAAGATGTCAAAGGGATCAAAGTTAGTCAAAATATGATCAAAAATCAATTTCCAACTGAAAAGTTATGCTCCGAAATTTTAGTCTCATATTGAGACCCATTTTTGGTATAGCAAATGATCGAATTGTAGAATGATTTCTGAAGAAAAGTTGTAACCCTTTGAGTTAGCTTTCCGACACATCTTAAATCACCTCAATCGAATATCGAAATAAAGAGTTATGATAAAAATATTGAAAGAAGTGCAATATGCCATTTTACCCTAATCGGTCGTCGAGGCGCCCACCATTCTGAAAATAAGCAGAATACACGGCGCCGGCTCCCGAGAAAGAGAAAAATTGGAAATTCTAAAAGATTTTCGGCCCAGTCCAACCCTATTTCGTCTTGTAACTTGTGGACACTATAAATATCACCATAAAGACCTAATTTTGGAGGTTGGAAGAAGGAGAGAAAGATACAAAAAAGCTGAATCTCCAGGACAACAACAAGAAGGAATTGAAGAAATGGTAGAAATAGTAAAAGGGACTTCGATTAGCACTTCAAAAGAGTTCTTTCTTACCTTTTCTTTTTATGTTTCCATTATAAATTGTATGGATTTC